CACAGGCACACGGGGGCAGCCATGGTGACTACTGACCTGGAGTCCTCACAGGCACACGGAGGCAGCCATGGTGACTACTGACCTGGGGTCCTCACAGGCACACGGGGGCAGCCATGGTGACTACTGACCTGGGGTCCTCACAGGCACACGGGGGCAGCCATGGTGACTGTACTGACCTGGGGTCCTCACAGGCACACGGGGCAGCCATGGTGACTGTACTGACCTGGGGTCCTCACAGGCACACGGGGGCAGCCATGGTGACTACTGACCTGGGGTCCTCACAGGCACACGGGGCAGCCATGGTGACTGTACTGACCTGGGGTCCTCACAGGCACACGGGGGCAGCCATGGTGACTGCTGACCTGGAGTCCTCACAGGCACACGGGGGCAGCCATGGTGACTACTGACCTGGGGTCCTCACAGGCACACGGGGGCAGCCATGGTGACTGTACTGACCTGGGGTCCTCACAGGCACACGGGGCAGCCATGGTGACTGTACTGACCTGGGGTCCTCACAGGCACACGGGGGCAGCCATGGTGACTACTGACCTGGGGTCCTCACAGGCACACGGGGCAGCCATGGTGACTGTACTGACCTGGGGTCCTCACAGGCACACGGGGGCAGCCATGGTGACTGCTGACCTGGAGTCCTCACAGGCACACGGGGGCAGCCATGGTGACTACTGACCTGGGGTCCTCACAGGCACACGGGGGCAGCCATGGTGACTACTGACCTGGGGTCCTCACAGGCACACGGGGGCAGCCATGGTGACTGTACTGACCTGGGGTCCTCACAGGCACACGGGGCAGCCATGGTGACTGTACTGACCTGGGGTCCTCACAGGCACACGGGGGCAGCCATGGTGACTACTGACCTGGGGTCCTCACAGGCACACGGGGGCAGCCATGGTGACTACTGACCTGGGGTCCTCACAGGCACACGGGGGCAGCCATGGTGACTGTACTGACCTGGGGTCCTCACAGGCACGCGGGGGCAGCCATGGTGACTACTGACCTGGGGTCCTCACAGGCACACGGGGCAGCCATGGTGACTGTACTGACCTGGGGTCCTCACAGGCACACGGGGCAGCCATGGTGACTACTGACCTGGGGTCCTCACAGGCACACGGGGGCAGCCATGGTGACTGTACTGACCTGGGGTCCTCACAGGCACACGGGGGCAGCCATGGTGACTACTGACCTGGGGTCCTCACAGGCACACGGGGCAGCCATGGTGACTGTACCGACCTGGGGTCCTCACAGGCACACGGGGGCAGCCATGGTGACTACTGACCTGGGGGTCCTCACAGGCACACGGGGCAGCCATGGTGACTGTACTGACCTGGGGTCCTCACAGGCACACGGGGCAGCCATGGTGCCTGTACTGACCTGGGGTCCTCACAGGCACACGGGGGCAGCCATGGTGACTACTGACCTGGGGTCCTCACAGGCACACGGGGGCAGCCATGGTGACTACTGACCTGGGGTCCTCACAGGCACACGGGGGCAGCCATGGTGACTGTACTGACCTGGGGTCCTCACAGGCACGCGGGGCAGCCATGGTGACTACTGACCTGGGGTCCTCACAGGCACACGGGGCAGCCATGGTGACTGTACTGACCTGGGGTCCTCACAGGCACACGGGGCAGCCATGGTGACTACTGACCTGGGGTCCTCACAGGCACACGGGGGCAGCCATGGTGACTGTACTGACCTGGGGTCCTCACAGGCACACGGGGGCAGCCATGGTGACTACTGACCTGGGGTCCTCACAGGCACACGGGGCAGCCATGGTGACTGTACCGACCTGGGGTCCTCACAGGCACACGGGGGCAGCCATGGTGACTACTGACCTGGGGTCCTCACAGGCACACGGGGCAGCCATGGTGACTACTGACCTGGGGTCCTCACAGGCACGCGGGCGGCAGGCTCATTGGATGCATCCGGCTGGGGCTGGTTCTGTTACAGCACCTTGGAACTTGCAGCCCGTGGTGCACAGAGGCGGCTTGGGAGACTGGGCTGTCGCGGGGGCCAGCTGTGGCTGCTGCACCAGTGGACCGGGGGCTGTCACGCAGGGGCCACGCCGCCTCAGGGGCCGGGCAGGGCTGGCCTGCCTCAGCTCCTCTGTCAGCTCGCTGCCGGCCTGCGGTGTGTTGGCCTCAGACTTGCTGCTTGGGTCTGCGGTCAGCCCTCTTCCTGACCTGCGTCCTGCGCAGAGTGCGTCCGGTTCGGATGTTCCCACCTGGTTCTGCTTTCTACGTGGTTCTCCCGAGTCCTCGTGGTTCCTGCTTCCTGAGTGTCTCCTCACTGTTGGCAGCAGCAGCTGTGCTGCTCAGAGCTCCGCTGCTGGTTCCTGGTGTCCGGTGAAGCCGGGGGCGGCAGGCTGCTTCAAGTGTGGCGTTGGGAGCCCTGGGTCTTGTTGATCTTTTATTACTGACTTCGTTGGTTTAGACTTGCGACTTCCAGCCGCCCTCTGTGGGACCTGTTTCAGTGTTGGGTTTTTGTTGTTGTTAATGAACTTTTTTTTAAAGTTCCATTTATGGAGGCTGGCGTTGCACAGTGGACCCAGCCACTGCCTGTGAGGCTGGCGTCTCCTGGGCGCTGGTTCCTGTCCCAGCTGTTGCACTCCAGTCCAGCTCCCTGAGAAAGCAGGGGAAGATGACCCAGGTGCTATGACTGTGGCACCCACGTGGGACACCTGGACGAAGCTGCTGGTTCCTGGCTTCAGCCTGGCCCAGCTTAGCCTCTCCTGGTCGTTGGGACCAGTGGATGGAAGAAATCCCTCTCTGTAGCTCTTTTTTTTTTTTTTTTTTTTTTTTTTTTTTTATTTGTAAGCTAGAGCAACAGAGAGACAGACCAAGATATTCCATCCACTGGTTCATTTCTCAGATGCCTCAGTCGCTGGGGCTCTGCCAGGCCGGAGCCGGGAGCCAGCAGCTTGAGCCGGGTCTGGCGAGTGGGTGGCAGGGACTGAAGGACTTGGGCTATCACCTGCTGCCTCCCAGGGCATAGGCAGGAAGCTGGATGGGAAGTGGAGCAGGGACTCGATCCCAGGCTCCGCTATGAGACGCCAATGTCCCAAGCAGTGCACGCCCCTCCCCCAGCTGCGCCAGCACTGGCCCGTCCACCCAGGGCAGGGAACAGACGAGGGCGACAGTGGGAGATGCAGGGAACACAAGTCTGTGCTCCTTTAAAAAGCACACAGGGCTGGCGCCGTGGCATAGCATGCCAGCCTCCCATATGGGCGCAGGTTCAAGTCCAGGCTGCTCCACTTCTGATCCAGCTCTCTGCTGTGGCCTGGGAAAGCAGTGGAAGATGGCCCAAGTCCTTGGACCCCTGCACCCATGTGGGAGACCCGGAAGAAGCTCCTGGCTCCTGGCTCCTGGCTTTGGATCGGCTCAGCTCTGCCATTCAAGTAAATAAATAAATATTAAACACACACACACACCTCCGAGCAGGAGGAGGCCAGAAGTTGTGCAGGTGCTGGACGTGAAGCCTGGCCACCTGCCTGGAGGTGCCCACCTGCTGGCCAGTGCTGGGGGCAGGATCTCACCTGCTGTCCAGTGCTGGGGGACAGGATCTCACCTGCCATCCAGTGCTGGGGGGCGGGATCTCACCTGCCGTCCAGTGCTGGGGGGCGGGATCTCACCTGCTGGCCAGGTGCTGTGGGGCAGGGTCCCTGCCATCCGGTGCTGGGGGGCGGGTCCCTGTGTCCAGTGCTGGGGGGCGGTTCCTGTGTCCAGTGCTGGGGGGCGGGCTCCTGTGTCCAGTGCTGGGGTAGTGGGGTCCCTGTGTCCAGTGCTGGGGTAGTGGGGTCCCTGTGTCCAGTGCTGGGGGGCGGGTCCCTGTGTCCAGTGCTGGGGGTGGGTTCCTGTGTCCAGTGCTGGGGGGTGGGGTCCCTGTGTCCAGTGCTGGGGGCGGGTCCCTGTCGTCCAGTGCTGGGGGGCGGGTCCCTGTCGTCCAGTGCTGGGGGGTGGGGTCCCTGTGTCCAGTGCTGGGGGGCGGGTTCCTGTGTCCAGTGCTGGGGGGCGGGTCCCTGCCGTCCAGTGCTGGGGGGTGGGGTCCCTGCCATCCAGTGCTGGGGGGGCGGGTTCCCTGTGTCCAGTGCTGGGGGTGGGGTCCCTGTGTCCAGTGCTGGGGGGCGGGTCCCTGTGTCCAGTGCTGGGGTAGTGGGGTCCCTGCCATCCAGTGCTGGGGGGCGGGTTCCCTGTGTCCAGTGCTGGGGGGCGGGTCCCTGTGTCCAGTGCTGGGGGGCGGGTCCCTGTGTCCAGTGCTGGGGTAGTGGGGTCCCTGTGTCCAGTGCTGGGGGGCGGGTCCCTGTGTCCAGTGCTGGGGGGCGGGTCCCTGTGTCCAGTGCTGGGGGGCGGGTCCCTGTGTCCAGTGCTGGGGTAGTGGGGTCCCTGTGTCCAGTGCTGGGGGGCGGGTCCCTGTGTCCAGTGCTGCGGGGCGGGTCCCTGTCGTCCAGTGCTGGGGGGTGCCAGTGCTGGGGGGCGGGCTCCTGCCGACGAGGCACCTGTTGGACGCTGAGGGTTCAGCTTTGTGTCCCAGGTCAGATAAGTGAGTGACACAGTTTTATAGCCTGTGCAGAGAAAGGTTCCTGGTTTTTAGAAGAGGAGGTGGAGTCTCCCCAGAACCTGTGCCGAGGGCGGCGGGTTAGCCCGTGGGGGTGAGTGCGCGCCTGTGGCTCCGGCTCAGCTGCTCCTCTGCCCTTGCAGAGCGGCCAGGTTCCGGGAGGCTTTGGCGTGTCCGCGCCGTCCTCTGCTGCCCCGTCCCAGGAGTCTGTGCCTGATGCCGTCAGGTTCACGGGAAGCAGCCTCGCCCCCGCACCGTGTTCAGGCGAGTGCTGACGCCCTGCTCCCCTTCTCCCCTGCAGCCAAGGCTCCCTGGTCCCCCTGGGGCTTTCTGGGGCTCCCTGACCGTTCAGCCTGAGCAGCCCTGTGTGGTTGGTCACTCCGAGCAGAGCCGTCCCCCAGGAGGGCGTGGGCAGCTGCCCCTCTGTGCCCCACAGCGTGCCTGACGGTTGACACAGCATGTGCGGGTGGTCAGCCAGGAGGCCAGCCCCACCCCGCGCCGGGGCCTGGCGGAGTGCGTGTGCAGGAGGAGTTAGAGTACCAGGAGCAGGAGGCCGTCTGGGGCCCGCTGAGACGCTGGGCAGGTGCGAGGGCAGCGCACTTCCCGGTGTCCGCGGTGTCTCCTCCCAGGGAGGTGTGGGGCGCAGGGGGCGCAGGGGCCCTGCTCTGACCTGCACGTCCCCCCTTCCACAGGTGACCCCTGGCTTCGAGGAGAAGGAAGGGGAGCTGCTGGTCAGGGGGCCCTCCGTGTTTCGAGAATACTGGAACAAACCAGAAGAAACTAGAGACGCATTCACCGCGGATGGCTGGTTTAAAACAGGTGGGGCCCAGCTCCACAGGGCAGGGTGGGGCTCACTGCCCTCTGTACTGGGGTCACAGAGCCTGGGTGCCCCCAGAGTCTGCAGCAGGCACAGGAGGGAGGTGGCTGGCCCCGCACGGCCCTAGAAGGGGGCCTGTGTAGCCCGCTGCCCCTGCCAGGTGCCCCCACCACACACACAGTGACCCCTGTGGGCTCCTTTAGGGAGGGTCTCACTGCCCTCCAGCAGGCTCCTTCCACGTGCAGGTACCACCGCTGCCTGCCGCCATGCAGCCCTCTCCCCGCTGCGCTGGGTCAGGAGCGGTTCTTGGGCTGCCGGTCTGCTCCCCGAGCTGCCTGCGGGGCAGGGGCCCATCAGGAGAGGGGAGCCCCTGGAGGCAGCGGGCCCTTCCCCTGGTGGGCCGCGGGAGGACGTGGAGGCCCAGGAGGTACTCAGGCGCCTCTGCGGTGGCCCGTGCGTGGACACGCCCAGCGTCAGCTCCTGACAGCCGCGGGCTTCTGAGTGGATGCTCTGTGCTTGTGAATGTCTGTGCTCAGTGTGCAGGCGTTTGTCACGACCCTGGTCATTTTTCCGGAAGGAAAGACCTGCTCTATCCCCATGTCCGTCATGCTGCCTCCAGCTGAAACAGGTTCCGTCCTGAGCCCCGGCAGGCCCCGGGAGCTGTCACCGTGCACGTCTGAGTGCGGTCCCGGGTGTCGGGAGGAAGAGGCGGGTGTGTGTGTGTGTGTGTGTGTGGAGCGTGTGCTGCTGTGAGCCGACTCCTGCCCGTGCGCGCAGGTCCCAGCTGCTCTGGGGAGGTCACAGGTCAGTGTGCTCTGTGGGTGGTGAGGTCTCCGGCACAGCCTCCTGCTCATTGGCCGGGGTCACGGAGTGACAGCTCACCAGCCCAATGGGGTGCCCCCGAGCCTGGGAAAGCTGGGGACTATGCTGCCCGGAGTCCATGCTGCTGAGGGAGGAGGGAGGGAGGGAAGGAGGGAGGTGAGGGCCCCGCCCCCTCCCTCCCTCCCTCCCTGGCAAGGAGCTGGGGGCCGGGGCTCCTTGTCTTCCTGCTGCTCGCATGTCCACCTGTGGTCCTGAACCCCGCTGGGTTTCTCTCTCACTTGCCGTCTGCCCCCCTCATCCCAGCAGCTGGGATCAGAAGTGTCCAAGTCCCACAGGCCAGGGGAGGAGGGGTGGTGGTGGTGGTACCTGACACCGCGGCAGACGGCTGGGCAGAGGGTGCTCCGGAGGTTTGCCGAGCACTGCTTGGTGAGCTCCGGCCCCAGGCAAAGGCCCCTCCGTGGGGCTGGGCTTCACAGAGGGTCAGGGCTGTGCCCAGGGCTGGTGGCGCGGGTGGCGCGCCGGTGTGCCCGTGGCAGGATGTGGCGGTGGGTTCACAGCCTGTGACCTCCCCATGGGGGCCAACCCTGCCTGCTGGCCTTCCCACGTGGCCCCGTGAGCAGCCCTCATGGAAGCCTGCCTTGCTTTGTAGCCGTCCTCTTTATTTTTAAATTCAGATTTTTAAAAATTGCAGGTTTTTTTTTTTTTTTTTTTTTAAAGCAGAGGCACCAAAACCTTGTGGGTTTTGCCGGCGTGGGGCCGTGAGCCGCCGGGCTGGCACCGATGCGTGTGCGGGCGGTTGGCGTGAACACGTCTGCAGCCCCCTCGGATGTGTTTCAGCTGCAGGGGGAGCGTGCGTTAATTACTGCGCGGAGCTGCTCGGGAGACGACTCGGATCCAGCGTGATCTCTGTAGTGCGCGGGAACAGGAAGGGAGGGGTGGGTCTAATTGGCTCTCAGGGCGAGCCTTTGTCACAGGCGGCAGCGACACGGCTGCACATGCGAGCGTGCAATCAGCCCACAGCTGCTGCTCTGCAGAGAGGAGTCAGGAGAAATTAGACTTAACCCCTTCCGTCCACCCAGCGCCGCCCGCTGCCGGGTCTCTGGCTGGCGAGGCCTAGGGAGTTGCGCCGAGGGCGCCGGGTCCGGGTGGAAGGGGAGGTCCCACTTGGGTGCCCACGGCGCTGTCTGTCACGCTGCCTGCCCAGCTCCTGCCTGAAGCCCCATCTGCCCCAGGACCTGCGGAGCTCCTGGCGAGGCCTCGGGTCTGGCCGCTGTCCAGGGAGGAGTAGGGTCCTCTCTAGTGCTTTCAGAACACACTCGGCTCAGCTCGTGCCCGGGCGGAAGGACAGGTGGCCCAGGAGCCAGGCACCCTCCGGGCTGGGCGGCTGCTGTTGGAGCCCCTGCCTCAGGTGGCCTGAGTGAGTAGCCGCCCCTCCAGGGGCCCAGGGACTGATCTCAGGACAGCCGGGGCGGGGAGAGGTTCAGACAGGGCTGAGTCCCCGAAGTCTGAGAAACAGCGGGGGACGGAGTGTCCGGGAGAGGTTCAGACAGGGCTGAGTCCCCGAAGTCTGAGAAACAGCGGGGGACGGAGTGTCCGGGAGGTGGATCCCAGCCCCAGAAGGGAGGAGACGGTGGGCCTATCACCCATGACCGTCCAGGGCCAGCTGAGGGGCACACGGCCCCAGAAGGGAGGGGGCGGTGGGCCTATCACCCATGGCCGTCCAGGGCCAGCTGAGGGGCACACGGCCCCAGCAGGGAGGGGGCGGTGGGCCTATCACCCATGGCCGTCCAGGGCCAGCTGAGGGGCACACGGCCCCAGCAGGGAGGGGGCGGTGGGCCTATCACCCATGGCCGTCCAGGGCCAGCTGAGGGGCACACGGCCCCAGCAGGGAGGGGGCGGTGGGCCTATCACCCATGGCCGTCCAGGGCCAGCTGAGGGGCGCACGGCCCCAGCAGGGAGGGGGCGGTGGGCCTATCACCCATGGCCGTCCAGGGCCAGCTGAGGGGCACACGGCCCCAGAAGGGAGGGTCAGTGGGCCTATCACCCATGGCCGTCCAGGGCCAGCTGAGGGGCGCACAGCTCTGTTCCCCACATGGCTGCCGGGCAGAAGCTCCGCGTCCAGCCGCCTGGGGCTGCTGGCCCTGGGACTCCCCGGGCACTGGATCCTGGAGCCAGGCAGTGTCCTGCTTACGTCCTGGGCAGTGACGAAGTTTAAAGGGCTCTTGCGGGTCAGTTGGGATTCCTCAGCAGAGGAAGAGCCCTGGCCGGAGAGGAGACGCAGGGCCGGCTGAGGCAGGTGAGAGGGGCCCGTGGGGGACTGAGGGGCAGCTCGGTCAGCAGAGCCCCCCAGCAGTGGTGCAGGCTGGTTCTCCGCCGGACGAGCGTGCTCCCGGCCTCCCCTGCAGAGCAGCCTGGAAGTGAAGGAGGATGGAGCCCAGCGAGGCCTGAGACCCCGCCCGGCGGCCCCGAGCAGGGGCACCAGCGTCGCAGGCCAGCGCTGCCCAGCCCGGGCCCAGCCAGGAGGGAGGGGCAGACACCAGCGGAGGGGACGTCAGCGCTGCGGGTCGTGCCGGGAGGCGGGGGCCCTGTGTGAATGGAGCCACACACGTGTGCCGTCGGCCCGCTGAGGTGGGCGTCGTGGGGGAGCCAGCGTCCGTGTTGGAGTGCTGGTTCTGGTTCCTGCCCACTCCACTCCCAGTCCAGCTTTCTGCCGACGCACCTGGGAAGGCGGCCGGTGATGCCCGCGTGCTTGTCCCTGCCAGGTTTCCAGCCCTTTGCCATGGGGCACTTGTGTCTGCAGTTCTGTGTGAGGCCACGAGGGGCCGTGCCAGTGCACGGTGGAGCCGAGGCTGCAGGGCCTGGGGGCTGCGTCCCTGAGTCAGGCTGTAGTGACGGAGCACCCAGCGGGCGAGGCCTGGAGAGTGGGGCAGGGGCGGGTCTCGAGACAGCACCCCCAGGCTGGCCATCCGGACCCTGGCTGTCCTTCCACGGCCCTGGCACCAGGAACACAGTCGCACACGTGTGCACTGGCAGGCACGCACACCGTGCACCCCCACACTGAAGGCCAGCGGGGGGCAGCCCTGTGCCCCTGCCTGGTTCCCCCGCTCTGAGTGGCTGGTGATGATTACGGAGCCACGTGTGCAGAGAGCGTGCAGCGCCCCAGCTGGCCGTCGGGACCCCGGGCCGGCCTTTCGTCCTCTGGCACCAGCTACCCTGTGAGGCCAGGCCCGCAGGACAAGACCTACCCACAGCGGCCGCTGTGTCCGTACGCAGTGTGTGTGGGCTGTGGTGTCTTCGAGGAAGGAGCTCCCTGAGTGGGCAGCGGCCGTGCGGGGCCTCACCTCACTCCCAGGCCCTCGCTGTTGCACCATCTGGGTCACCCTCGGGGGTCGCAGCCGTGGAACGTTCAGTGACCATCAGTCACCGCCCACGCCGACAGCCTGTGAGCTGCTGGCACCCCGCGGAGCTCCTGGTGGGGGTGGTGCGCATGGGGCCTGGGCACGAGGTGGGGACTCTGGGAGTGGCCTCCAGGCTGTCACGGGCATCACCAGAGCCCTCTTTGCCCAGGTGACACGGCGGTGTTTAAGGACGGCAGGTACTGGATCCGCGGCCGCACGTCTGTGGACATCCTCAAGAGCGGGGGCTACAAAGTCAGTGCCCTGGAGGTGGAGCGGCACCTGCTGTCCCACCCCAGCATCTCAGGTGAGCCCCCCCCAGCCCCTCCTGTGAGCCCACCCCAGCATCTCCTGTGACCCCACCCCAGCCTCTCAGGTGACCCCCCACCCCAGCCTCTCAGGTGAGCCCCCACCCCAGCCCCTCCTGTGACCCCACCCCAGCATCTCAGGTGAGCCCCCACCCCAGCCTCTCAGGTGAGCCCCCACCCCAGCCTCTCAGGTGAGCCCCCACCCCAGCATCTCAGGTGAGCCCACCCCAGCCTCTCAGGTGAGCCCCACCCCAGCCTCTCAGGTGAGCCCCCACCCCAGCCTCTCAGGTGAGCCCCCACCCCAGCCTCTCAGGTGAGCCCCCACCCCAGCATCTCAGGTGAGCCCACCCCAGCCTCTCAGGTGAGCCCCCACCCCAGCATCTCAGGTGAGCCCCCCCCAGCCCCTCCTGTGAGCCCACCCCAGCATCTCAGGTGAGCCCACCCCAGCATCTCAGGTGAGCCCCACCCCAGCCCCTCCTGTGACCCCACCCCAGCATCTCAGGTGAGCCCCACCCCAGCATCTCAGGTGAGCCCACCCCAGCATCTCAGGTGAGCCCCACCCCAGCATCTCAGGTGAGCCCCACCCCAGCCCCTCCTGTGAGCCCCACCCCAGCCTCTCCTGTGACCCCACCCCAGCCTCTCCTGTGACCCCCACCCCAGCATCTCCAGTGACCCCACCCCAGCATCTCAGGTGAGCCCACCCCAGCATCTCAGGTGAGCCCCACCCCAGCCTCTCCTGTGACCCCACCCCAGCCTCTCCTGTGACCCCCACCCCAGCCTCTCCTGTGACCCCCCACCCCAGCCTCTCAGGTGAGCCCCACCCCAGCCTCTCCAGTGACCCCCACCCCAGCCTCTCCTGTGACCCCACCCCAGCCTCTCAGGTGAGCCCCCACCCCAGCATCTCCTGTGACCCCCCACCCCAGCATCTCCTGTGACCCCCACCCCAGCCTCTCCTGTGAGCCCCACCCCAGCCTCTCCTGTGACCCCCACCCCAGCCTCTCAGGTGAGCCCCTACCCCAGCCTCTCCTGTGACCCCCACCCCAGCCTCTGCTGTGACCCCACCCCAGCCTCTCAGGTGACCCCCACCCCAGCCTCTCCAGTGACCCCCACCCCAGCCTCTCCAGTGACCCCCACCCCAGCCTCTCCTGTGACCCCCACCCCAGCCTCTCCTGTGACCCCACCCCAGCCTCTCCTGTGACCCCACCCCAGCCTCTCCTGTGAGCCCCACCCCAGCCTCTCCAGTGACCCCCACCCCAGCCTCTCCTGTGAGCCCCACCCCAGCCTCTCAGGTGAGCCCCCACCCCAGCCTCTCCTGTGAGCCCCACCCCAGCCTCTCCTGTGACCCCACACCAGCCTCTCCTGTGACCCCCACCCCAGCCTCTCCAGTGACCCCCACCCCAGCCTCTCCTGTGAGCCCCACCCCAGCCTCTCAGGTGAGCCCCACCCCAGCCCCTCCTGTGAGCCCCACCCCAGCCTCTCAGGTGAGCCCCACCCCAGCCTCTCCTGTGACCCCCACCCCAGCCTCTCAGGTGAGCCCCTCCCCAGCCTCTCCAGTGACCCCCACCCCAGCCTCTCAGGTGAGCCCCACCCCAGCCTCTCCTGTGACCCCACCCCAGCCTCTCAGGTGAGCCCCCACCCCAGCCTCTCCAGTGACCCCACCCCAGCCTCTCCTGTGACCCCCCCCCCAGCCTCTCCTGTGACCCCCACCCCAGCCTCTCAGGTGAGCCCCCACCCCAGCCTCTCTGGTGAGCCCCCACCCCAGCCTCTCCTGTGAGCCCCCACCCCAGCCTCTCCAGTGACCCCCACCCCAGCCTCTCAGGTGAGCCCCCACCCCAGCCTCTCCAGTGACCCCCACCCCAGCCTCTCCTGTGAGCCCCACCCCAGCCTCTCCAGTGACCCCCACCCCAGCCTCTCCTGTGAGCCCCACCCCAGCCTCTCCAGTGACCCCCACCCCAGCCTCTCCTGTGAGCCCCACCCCAGCATCTCAGGTGAGCCCCACCCCAGCCTCTCCAGTGACCCCCACCCCAGCCTCTCCTGTGACCCCCACCCCAGCCTCTCCAGTGACCCCCACCCAGCCTCTCAGGTGAGCCCCCACCCCAGCCTCTCCAGTGACCCCCACCCCAGCCTCTCCTGTGACCCCACCCCAGCCTCTCCAGTGACCCCCACCCCAGCCTCTCCAGTGACCCCACCCCAGCCTCTCCTATGAGCCCCCACCCCAGCCTCTCAGGTGACCCCCACCCCAGCCTCTCCAGTGACCCCCACCCCAGCCTCTCCAGTGACCCCACCCCCAATCGGCCTTTGAGGCTGCCTGATGCACACCTAGGCACCAGGTGTGACTGCTGTAGGGTGGGACAGCGAGGTACCCACAGCCCTGGGTGGCAGCGTCCACTGTCGGCCTTGTCTGTTGAACCCGCTGGCTCCACCAGCGTGGCCAGGGCACCGCCGCCCGTGCTTCCTCGGTCCCAGGGCCTCCGTGGCCTGCAGTGGGCACCGCCGTGTCCCAAATATCTCCAACCTGTGCTTGCACCCTCAGATGTGGCTGTGATTGGAGTTCCTGACGTGACATGGGGCCAGCGGGTCACAGCTGTGGTAGCCCTTCGAGAAGGACACTCACTGTCCCACCCGGAGCTCAAGGAGTGGGCCAGGTAGGGCTGGGCAGGGCTGGAAGGGCCCAGGTTCAGCGTCAGAGAAAAGCCGCCAGCACCAGAGCTGAGGCCCAGGCCGAGCAGGCTGCCTCAGTGCCCCGGTGCTGCCCTGGCCACGGCTGTGGCGCCTCTGAGGGGCCTGGGGGCTGCGGCCACAGCTCCTCTCTGGCCTCCCCTCACCCTGGCCCTGCCCCGCCCTCCCTGGATGCAGCCAGCTCAGGGCCTCCCCTCACCCCATCTCTCCGTGGCCCCCACGTCCACCCTGGACGGGGCCAGCTCAGGGTCTCTCCTCACCCCATCTCTCCGTGGTCCCCACGTCCACCCTGGACGGATCCAGCTCGGGGCCTCCCCTTACCCCACCCCTCCGTGGCCCCCACGTCCACCCTGGACGGGGCCCTGTTTGGGGCCTCCCCCCACCCCAGCCCTCCGTAGCCCCCATGTCCACCCTGGACAGGGCCAGCTCGGGGCCTCCCCCCACCCCACCCCTCCGTGGCCCCCACGTCCACCCTGGACGGGGCCCTGTTTGGGGCCTCCCCCCACCCCAGCCCTCCGTAGCCCCCATGTCCACCCTGGACAGGGCCAGCTCGGGGCCTCCCCCCACCCCACCCCTCCGTGGCCCCCACGTCCACCCTGGACAGGGCCAGCTCGGGGCCTCCCCCCACCCCAGCCCTCCGTGGCCCCCACGTCCACCCTGGACAGGGCCAGCTCGGGGCCTCCCCCCACCCCACCCCTCCGTGGCCCCCATGTCCACCCTGGACGGGGCCAGCTCGGGGCCTCCCCCCCCATCTCCACGTCCACCCTGGAGCTCGAGACCTCTCCCGGGCTTTTCTCCTGCCTGTCCGTGACCCCGCGGTTCTCTGGGTGCCCCAGGGACCCCCAACCCTCCCCGGGCACCACGTCTGGGGCTGCCTCCAGGACCGAGCCGAGCTAATCGGGGTCAGTGCCAGACAGGACAGCAGGGGTGCGCCAGAGCAGACCCCGAGAGCTCAGGACGGAACTCCGCCCTTCTCCAGCAGAGGAACCCGGCTCCTGTCCCTGCTCCCGCCCGAGGCTGAGGGACTCGGGCTCCTCCGCTCCACACTGCCAGCAGGACTCGGGGTCTCGTCAGGGCCAGCGCAGCTGGGCAGTTACAGCTGCCCCGGGGTCTGCCTGCCCGGGGCCGCCGTGATGACGCAGCCGCTGTGTTGGGGAGAGGAGGGAGCCCTGTGCTGAGGGCGTCAGGGCCCACGTCTGTGGGAACCCCAGCCCCGGCGTTCCTCCCACGTCCAGTCCAGCCCCGCGTCTAGCAGGGTCAAGGCCGGTCTCTGCCTGGGATGTGGGTGTGCCGACGGGACACGAGGGGCTTGGGGCCTGGTGGGAGCCACAGCTGGGTTCTGGCCAGGAGCTCCAGCGCTGGCCCTGGGATGTCCCCCACCTGGGAGGAGCAGCCCTGAGGAGGGGTCCCCACTTGTAACTCAGACCCACCTGCCCCGCCAGGGCTTGGGTTCACCCCCAGAGCAGCTCCTGTGGTCCCGGGGTCTCGTGGTCAGGACGCCCGTGGGAGAAGCATTGTCTGCTGTGCAGCCTCCCTGCTAGCCGGGCGACCCCCCCCCCCGAGGGCCCTGCTGGCCATTTCAGGGGCGCTGCTTTGCTCGCGTGTTCACCACTGACCAGAGAGAGGCAGGAAGGAGGGAATTCTGGGACACTAGAGGTCAGCCGGCCCAGAGAGGAGACGTCTGGGCGACTGACCAGGCAGCAGCCAGGCTGCCCTGGACCAAGGTGGGGAGGTCCGCGCCCAGCCCAGGCACACGCAGGTGACGGCCGGGAAGGCGCTGTGCCGCCCAGCCCAGGCACACGCAGGTGACGGCCGGGAAGGCGCTGTGCCGCCCAGCCCAGGCACACGCAGGTGACGGCCGGGAAGGCGCTGTGCCGCCCAGCCCAGGCACACGCAGGTGACGGCCGGGAAGGTGCTGTGCCAGCCCCGCGTCACTCCCCAGTGAGATGCCCTGCCCTTGGCTGCCCTCCCCTCACGTAGATGCCTCCCCCACGGGCACTCCGCCCCCAGGTTGGGGTAGCATCTTGTCAGGGCAGTCGGCTGTGGGGAGAGCTCCGCGGTGGCCAGTGTCCACCTTTCAGACCCACGCCCTCCTGGACGCTGGCGCCTCGGGGTTTGGGTTGTGCGTCTAACCCTTCCTTCCTGTCACTGTCCCGTAGTTGTTCCTTGTTACTTTTATTTATTTATTTGTGTCGAGGGAGAGAATCCTCCATCTGCTGGTTCAATCCCCAAATGCCAGCAATGGCCAGCGCTGGGCTCGGCTGACGCTGGGAGCCAAAGACCCCGTCCAGGTCTCCCGTGTGGGTGTCAGGGACCCAACAACCCATCGCCCACTGCACATGAGCAGACGCGAGCCTGGTAGTTCACCCGGGATGGAGGTGTGAACGTGACTTCCGCGTGTTACGAGCCCGCCGTCCCACGGTCGATGGTTTTTACAGTCGATCTTTCAGAGAACTAAGGAGAATGGCTGAACTTCCATGCCGGTGCCCCCCACCCCCCCGTGTGGCCTGCGGGGGCTGGGGCCTGAGCTCCTCACACCGCCACGCTTGCCGGGAGCACTCTGTCTTGCAAAGGTCTCTGATCTGCCCCCGTCCCCGAGGGGCCAGCTGTGGAGGGGGCGTCTCGGCCGACACTGCCCTGGGCCTCCGGGGACGGCACTGCCACGGGTCGGCTTGTCCTCAGCGAGGGCCTCTGCCATGCCCGCCCGGCTGCACCCATGTCCCCTGGGGAACTGCGGTAGGGCCCAGGGCAGACAGCCCTGGGTGGGCCGCGGTGGGGTGTGTGTGCCTGGGCCCCTGCCCAGCGCAGGCCTTCTTGTCTCTGCAGAGGTGTCCTGGCCCCCTATGCTGTGCCCTCCGAGCTCCTGCTGGTGGAGGAGATCCCACGGAACCAGATGGGCAAGGTGGACAAGAAGGCCCTGCTCAGGCAGTTCTACCCCGCGTGACCACGGGACCACGGCCAGGCCCAGAGCCCTCCCCGGACCTGACGCTGGGCATGAGACCCGCACGCTGCCTCCCACAGCCACTGATGTCCCAGCCCAGGGCCCCCAGACACTCCCTTGTGGTGGTAACACCCCACCTGCTGGACTCTCTCCTCAGCAAGTCCTGGAGGGATCCCGGAGAAAAACAAACACTGTCCTGTGCTGTCTGCACACACCTGCACACACCTGCACACCTGTGTTGTCTGCCCACACCTGCACACACCTGCACACCTGTGCTGTCTGCCCACACCTGCATACACCTGCACACCTGTGCTGTCTGCACACACCTGCACACCTGTGCTGTCTGCCCACACCTGCACACACCTGCACACCTGTGCTGTCTGTCTGCACCTGCACACACCTGCACACCTGTGCTGTCTGCCCACACCTGCACACACCTGCACACCTGTGCTGTCTGTCTGCACCTGCACACACCTGCACACCTGTGCTGTCTGCCCGCACCTGCACACACCTGCACACCTGTGCTGTCTGCCCGCACCTGCACACACCTGCACGCCTGCACACACCTGCATACCTGTGCTGTCTGCACACCTCTGCACACCTGTCCAGAGCTGTGTGCTGCCCTACAGTGGGAGCACCTCAGCTCCCAAGGGTGGAGCCAGCTGCCTCGCCCCAACCCAGAGTCCTCCCAGGTCCTCCCAGACCCCTGCTCCCCCAAACCCCACGTCTTGCTGGCCTCCACCTTCCCAGCCCACAGGGAAGTGTTAGGGTGCGTGGGTGCCCCCGTGTGCACTCAGAGGCCACGTGAAGCGTCCTGGAGTTTCTGCATGACTCCTGGGGAGCCGGGCACAGCTGTCCCCATGGCCTGTAGGGAGGGACGGCCACAGCCCTGCAGGACTCTGCCCCAGAATGCAGACCTACGGGGCCCGGTCACAGCCCTCCCACCGCCTGCTGTCCCTCACCCTCCCCTGCGCTGGGCAGGGCCATGCTGGGAGGAAAGGCCCCGGAGGGGGCAGCGCTCAGCGCTCGCCGGTCTGGACAGCTGGGCCTCGGCTTCGTGGTGGCTCAGGAGACACCTGCTCCTGGGCGGAAGTCAGCGGCTGTAAGACTTTCACTGAATCCTGCTGGCTTCGCTCTTGCGTTTTCTATAACCTGAAGGTTCCGGCTCCTAAAAATGTTTGCATCATCCGCACTGCCTCGTGGTTTGAGTCACACCGTCCAGCGTCGTCACAGGAAAACCTTCCTGCAGGACGCTGACGCCATCGAGACGTGCGCAGCTCCTGCGTCCTCGGAACGCGCTCCTGGGGCGCAGCCAGAGCACCGCACCCTGCCACCTCTCTGCCTCGTCTGTCTCCCTGAGACGGGGCTCGGGCAGCCAGCGTCCAGCTCAGCCTGGCACAGGTCTCCTGGGGACACCGTCCACCCCCGGGGCCCCAGGAAGTTCCACAGGCTGGCTGAGCCAGCCCGCACCCCACACACCCTGACAGGCAGCCCCGGCCGTCCGAGCCGGGGCCAGGAGCAGGTGCCCTGAGAGCTGCTGCTCGCACTGGACGATGAACCCACCCGACCTGCTCCTGAGTTGGACTTCAGTCTGTTGGAGGTGCAGGGGTCTGGTGGAGCCTCGGTCCCTGGGGCCCAAGAAGGGACAAGGCACCATGAGCAGGACGATGGCCCTGGCGCCTTCCCCCAGGGTTCTGCAGTCCTTCCTGCCCCTCCCCCGTTGGTGGCCAGGGAGCGGCCCTTGCTGCCCCAGCACTCTGTCCACTGCGGCAGTCACCCTGCAGGTGGGCTGTGGGCCACCAGCGTGGAGGGGTCAGGAGCTCTGCTTCCCATCCCAGCCTCTCACGCAGGAAAGGGGGGGTCAGCTGAGGCTGAGGCGTCCACCAGGGCCCAGCCAGCCCCTGCCCCGGCACCCCCCCAGCTCCCTCTGCCTGGGCGTCCTGCTCCGATGCAGGCTGACGGAGGAGCTTGGTCCCCATGGGGCCGCAGCAGACAGCAGAGGTGCAGAGCATGGCCCCTGGGTAAATCGGGCACAGAGTGGGGCTGCCGCAGCGAGGCGGGCAGGCCGGGGGTTGGCCCCACTGGCCCCGGGACAGCCGTCACGGCCCTGCCTCAGCCCTGCAGTGCCACGGTTTTGCCGTTGTCCCGCGTGGTGGCCAGAGCTGGAGGAGTCATAGGCGGTTGGCGTTGCCAGACAGGGCAGAACTTGGCACCTGGCCCAGGAGGGGGACTCCCGACGTGGAAGGAGCGCCTGGCTCTGTCCAGGGCGGCCACGCTCGGGAGCGGCACCAGCCCGAGAGGGTGGGCAGGCACTGGAGAGCACACGTGTGTGCGGCCTGTACACACGTGCACACCAGCCCTGTCCACTGAGGAGCTGTGTGTGCCCCTGCTGCCTCAGGCCCCTGGGTACCCCGAGCTGCTCTGTGCTGCCCTGAGGCCCGGGGGACCTTCTCCTCCCCCGTGCCGTGGAGTTGAGGCCCTCCTCCTGGCTGGGGGTAGGGCGTGTCTTGGCAGACGATCAGCTTTGTGCTCGGCACAGAGGCCGGTGTGGAGCGGCCCTGTCCCGCGTGCAGCCCGCGAGCCGTGGTGTGGGACGAGGTCACGGGGGCAGGTGGCACAGAGGCTCTTCCTGGTCAGTCACTTGCCGGCCGCTGAGCAAGCTTGAAGCTCACGGTGGACCCTGCCTGGCACCGTCCACATCGGGCCGTGGCCTGCCCCCAGTGGCCACCAGGACTGGGGACATGCTGTTTCACCCAGAGCCAAGGTTTTAAGAGTCAGGGCCCTGGTCATCCCACTTATAGGAAGGGAGGTTGTGTTGGGTTCTCAGGGCCCAGCGGGTGAGGGGGAGCTGGGGACAGCATGGGGACTCCACCAGCCTCCACCACTGTGCAGGGAGGGGCGGAGCCAGGGTCCACCTCTCGAGGCCGTGAAGAGGGGAAGGGGTCACAGTGGTCTTCTCAGGGTTCTCTAGCCGGGCTGCTGTGGCCTGGCAGCCCCGTGTCCTCCCCTGCGTGGCCCCCCACCACTGCACCTGCTCATCCAGGGCAGGCACAGGCATCCTGTGTGCAGCCACCGGTGACAGCACAGCCGAGCTCAGGATGAGAAGCCAGGCCCTGGGGTTGCCGGCCGCACGGGGGAGGTGGGCAGTGGCGGTCAGACCCAGCGGTCCACTGCCTGGGAGCCCAGCCAGTCACCACCCCTGTGCTGCGAGGGGTGAGGCCAAGACCATGCCTCCCCCGGGGTGTGCTGTGTACGGCGCCCACCTCGCCTGTGAAAGTGGGGGTCTCAAGGATCAGCAGCTCGGACCCCAGCCCAGCGCAGGCTGCAGGCCCACGGACAGGGCGCTTCCTGGCCCGTGTCTCTCACGGGCGGGTCCCAGGGCCCTGTCCATGCTGAGAGAGGTGTGGAGCCTGGTGGGCCCCGGCCGGCCCTTGGAGTTGGGAGCGTGGGGTGGCCCCAGGTCCTTGTGTCCACTCCCCTCACCAGAGGCTCTGGCCACGTTGGAAGGAGGGCCAGGCCCAGCGTCCTTGCCCGCCCCAGGCCTGGCTCTGAGGCCCGAGTGGGGAGCAGGCGAGGACCCACTCGGCGTCTGCTCCAGGCCACCCCTTGTCCCCGAGACGCAGCCTGGGCTCAGCGGGGCCTGATTCCCATGCTGCCTGCCTCGGGCACGGAGCCATCGGAGTGAGTTCTTCCTCAGGGTGTGTGTGCACGCCTGTGTGAGTGCCAGGAGTGTGTGTGCACACCTGTGAATACCAGGAGTGTGTGTGTGCATGCCTGTGAGTGCCAGGAGTGTGTGTGCACACCTGTGAGTGCCAGGAGTGTGTGCGTGCAGTGCACGCCTGTGAGTGCCAGGAGTGTGTGTGCACACCTTTGAATACCAGGAGTGTGTGTGTGTGCACACCTGTGAGTGCCAGGAGTGTGTGTGTGCATGCCTGTGAGTGCCAGGAGTGTGTGCATGCCTGTGAGTGCCAGGAATATGTGTGTGCACACCTGTGAGTGCCAGGAGTATGTGTGTGCAGTGCACGCCTGTGAGTGCCAGGAGTGTGTGCAGTGCATGCCTGTGTGAGTGCCAGGAGTGTGTGCAGTGCATGCCTGTGTGAGTGCCAGGAGTGTGTGTGTGCAGTGCACGCCTGTGTGAGTGCCAGGAGTGTGTGCGTGCATGCCTGTGTGTGTGCCAAGAGTGAGTTCTTGCAGGCGGCGTCTGGGTCGCTCTCGGGGGTGTGCACAGGTAACCACATGTCCACAGGGTACCGGGCAGCAGGTGCAGGCCCAGGCTCAGGGGTTGGCCACACCTGCAGGTCCCTTTGGCAGCCCTTGGCCACCCAGGGTCCACGCGGACACAAGCTGGGTCCCACAGGCAGGCCCTGTCCTCGGCTCACAGGCAGGTCCCCGCCGCCCCTGTGCTGTGGTGCCGTGGCTGCAGGCCGTCAAGTGGCCGGTCAGCTTCCTCACAGCGGCCACGACAGAAACCTCCAGACCCTGGCCGACCGACTGCCCCCCTGCACACGCATGCGCACACACACTGACACAGGTGTCATGAACAGCACAGGCCGGCCCCTGAGCCCCAGACCTGGGGGAAGGTCGGGGAGTGCTGGGGGCAGCTGGCACCAGGCCCAGCCTGGGACCCACACTTCCCAGCAGGTGCATGGACCGGGCAGCACTGTGATGGCGACCGAGGTGGAGCAGGAAGTGCGCAGTGGGGAGGGGGCGCCCTGGCTGCCGGGGGTCTGCCGCTTTGGTTTCTGTCAGCCTCGGGGAGCAGAGCCCACGGAGCTGTGCGCAGTCCTCTGCGGCCTTCGCGGTCACGTGGCCCCGGCCTGGGGCTCCTGGGCGTGTGCTGTCCCCTGGGCGTGTGCTGTTCGTGCTTGCAAGCAGCCGGCTCAGGATCTGCGCATCTTCTCTTGCTGGGCGTCTTCATGTTTCCGTTGATTGCACGTGAGTGACACGCGTGTCTTTTGCTTCCTTGGTGCTGTCTACAAATGCACAGAATTTGTATATTTTAATGTACTCAAATGCTTCACCTTTTTAGAAACATGGATGTTGGCTATTTGGAAATCAGAGTTACAGAGCGGGAGGGAGGGACAGAGGGAGAGGGCTTCCATGGCCGCAGCGGCCGGGGCTGGGCCAGGCTGAAGCCAGGAGCTTCCTCGGGGTCTCCCACATGTGGGAGGGGCCCAGGCCACCCTCCACTGCTTTCCCTGCCCCAGCAGGGAGGGGCTGGAGGCCCGCGCTGACCACTTGCTTTTCTGGAGGCGCTGCCCCTGCCTGCACGCGCTGCACCAGGCTTCCAGCCTCCTTGGTCTGAGGTCCCGTGCTCAGCCCAGCGGCCTGGAGGAGAAACTGGAGGCCACGTGGGCAGCGGGGAGGGGGGCCTGCACCCCGCGTGCCCTGGCCAAGGGCTCACAGCCCGGCACAGTGAGTGGCGATGGCCGCGGCTGCAGGAGTGTGCCGGTCTCCCAGCGTTCCCAGCGCTGAGCCAGCTGGCTGCAGCCGGGAGGAGCCCAGGCCGTGCCGTGGACGCAGCCTCGCCCAGTGTCTGCTGCTTTCCCAGGCCGGCTGCCGGCCCCTGCCCGGGTCTCCTGGCCGCGTGAGCGCCGTGGAACCCTGGAGGCACCGGGTCTCCTGGCCGCGTGAGCACCGCGGAATCCCGGAGGCGCCGGAACGGGCCGCCCCCCAGGGGCCAGGGGTTGGATTGATTCTGTCACAGCAGCCGCTTAGCCCTTTGGGATTTCTCGCTCCAGAGTCACCACACTGGACACTGATTGAAAGGGCGGGGCTCACCCAGGGCCCCTCCCCCTCCCGCTGCTCTGCTGGGCCAGGGTCCGCCACTGCCGGGGGCCCCCCCACTCCTGGGGCCCATGCCCCCAGGCGTCTCACACAGAATCCCTCCCTGGGCCCCCGGGAGACGGCCGACTCAGAACCGAGAGCCAGCAGCGTCCGGGGCAGGGCCAGGCAGCGCCGGCTGGGTGACTGAGCTCCAGGACCCTGGTTCTGTGGTCCTGCGGCCACACTGCCCCCTCCCAGGGCTGCCGGCACCTGTGACAGGACGAGGGAGCCCCACCCCACTCCTACCAGCCAGGCCCCCCCAGGTGTGCGTCCCCCTCTCCTCACAGAGGAGGGATGGGGTGGCCGGAGAGCTGACCGAGGCAGACTTGGGGCGTGTGGCGAGGGGGCGGGCACTGGCTCAG